GGAATCCAGACTTCATATATTCAGAGGATTTCGAGCTCTTCGGCGGTGAGGTGTCGCCGGGTTCGCAGCACGTCTAAGTCTCATGATGCCGTCGCTTTGGATCGTGTCCAAAACCTATGGCCTGTGGTTCGGGGTTTAGGGACGGTCAGTGTCGATAGTACTCGTAAGACTCGTGACTAGTCCAGAACTTGGAGTCGATCATGCCGGCGGTCTCCCTTCGGGCGCAAGGGCGGGTCTGCATGAGGCTTGTAACAGTACCGAGATTGTTGTCACGAGCATGGCGCAGCTGGGCAGCTAGTACTTATCCGGGACGCTTTTGCTGCCCAAACTGTAACGAGTGTTATCTCACTGTGGGACTTGTTGCAAATCGGTTGCTGGACCGTGTGGCAAGTGCCCAGCGCAGTCAGCCTTGCTCCTCACGCAGTGTGACGTGCATTTGGGGCTGATCCTAGTAGTAGAGTAGGAAACCTTTAACCTTTTTTGAGTAGTATAGTCCCTATATATATATATATATATATATATATATTCCCTACATAGCCAAAATGGTTAACCTTTAGTTACCCATGACACCCGACAAGTAGGTGATGCGGGTCATCCCTGCGAGCCTCAGAAATGGTTTCGGCTTCGGGGTCCTGGGACTGCTTTTCCCTACCCCTCTTTTAGGGTACCTAGTTTTATGGCTAGGTTCTCTGATATCGAAAAGTAGGTACCTTAAAAAAGGGGTAGGGTATGACCCTGTAGGTAAGGCTCCATGGTAGTTCCTCTTTGGGGTTCATATTTAGAATCCTATAAGGCACTTCTTAGAAGGAACTACTATGGAGCCTTGGGGTAGCTGCTATTTACAATATTGGGTCCTACGCTGGCATATTGACATAATGTGGGAACTCTTGTCTTTGATACGTACTATGCACGCAGGAATCTAGAGGCTTTTATCCATAGAACAAAGGAAGCAGCTCTGATCGGGACGCTCTTTTAGCAGCAGACCGTAAGCCGTCTAAGCTCTCGCTCCAGGTGGTATCTCATCCAGGGAAAGAAGGAAAATTCGATGTCGCCGGACGGCGGCTTGCGTGCCGTTGAGGCAGCTTTCTGAGGTTAAAGGGAACTCCAGAAAGTTGGAATATGGATTAATGGTAGGATCCCCTATAATTTACCTTAAAGGGGATACGATAATGATATTCCAACTTTCTGGCTTCTACTGTAAGGGTTTTGCTTTTGCTTTGTCCGGGGCACCGGCGAGGTAGTCGAGCCAATGCTGTGCCCGAGTCCAAAGACAGCCCGGAAAACTTTGATCTGCATTTAGTCCTGGGCCCTTTCATCCTCCACCTTGAAGTTGGATTCATGATCCGCATAAAGGCTGAATGTACCTAGTCCTTTGCCTGCAACGCTGCACCACGAGACACCGCGTGCATCCCAACACAACATACACTACAGAATCCGGAGCCATCGACTGATTGTAAAGCGTGCGAGGTCCGAACGGAAAACACCAACTATGGGAAGCACCCCAAAATGAACAAAACCGGGTTGCGGAGAGAAGTGCTGCGACCGCCTATCGGACCTATCGCGTCAAGGCCCCCTCAACACTATCCCACCTTTCCAAAGTCTGGCCGGCTAAAGCCCGAATCCCAAACAGACTTGGTATGGATTGAAGACATTTGGCAAGCATGATACAGAGACACCACCAGTTCCCAAAGTTGCGCAAAGATTTCAAGAGTGAAGCTGCAAAACTGGAAAGATGCGACAGTTCCTGATTCTAGTCCCCATAGTCCTGAACCAAAAATCTTGCAGCACTCATCATTAATCCCAAACGAAACCCTAAGCACATCTGCCACCAAACCCTTCAAGCACTTGTAAACCCCCAGCCATATATACTTCGTGATCTCATAATGACATAATGATTCATCGCAGCATATGTCGAGGCCACCCTGCGTCCTGAAGAGATCGCCTATGGCAAGGAACTCTTGGATCTAGGGTTGAAGGGTGTAGGCAGAAAGCGTTATCGCGAGTCAGGTGGTTTGTAAGCAAGATGTTGCGGGCCTTCGCGGGCCAGCTGATGCAAGCTTTCAACACGAGCTCCTTGTTTGAGTATCGCACGAACAGGGCGGGTCGTCATTCCCTGACTGTGTGGCATGCTCCGATCGGTCACGTGGGTTCCAGCTTGTCAAGCCATACTGAAGGAGTCGCCTTCATTCAGAGCCGGCGACAGGAATCGGCATGATATCGCAGGTGTCATAGGTTGGTAGTGGCACGACATCCGTCATTTCCTGACTTTCGCAGGTAGGATGCTGTATGTATACATGTTAGCCGTTAGGATGACAACGGGGTGTCAGACGGCATGTGGGTACTGACATCAACCTCTGTCCATTTGAAGTTTCCGAAGCTCTTGTTCCGCCCCACATGGCAATGAACGGTACCGTTGTAGCAGACATGCTGCAGCGCAAAGTCCTCGTCGTCCTTCTCGTCGTCGTCGCCGTCGTAGCAGCCTGCAGCAGCAGCGGTACAGTAGCAGCTGCAGTTGTTAAAGTAAGAAGGTTAAAGCAATAACAGAATAAGACGAGCGAGTCTAAACGGCCATATCCCCCACATCAAAATTGAAAACACAAGTAGTTCAATCCGAAGCTCTTAGGCTCGAATTAGTTTAACGAGTTCTCCCAATGATGGTCTCTAACATTTCCTGGGTGTCGCGCTGTATCAGCGTATTGAATCACGGCCTCCAGCTTGTTCTAACGTACAATAGGGGCCTAAATAATTACCATGCAATACTATTTTGGGGTTCCTTGTTGTAATTAATTAAAGTATGTTGGATCCCGAAAGACCATATTCTAACTATTGAGGCCCCTATATTATCTATAGCCCTTCCAGGAGGTGGAGAAGTGGACCATACAGCTGGCCGGAGGGCAATCGGCCGTGAGTCCCGCTACCCGGCGGAAAAGAGCACCAACGTGCGTGATGTAGGGTTTAGGTTTAGGGGTTTAGGGGTTTTGGGTTTTGGGTTTGGCAGGTGTATCGGAGCTTCTCGTCATAAAGCTTCAGTGGGCTTCTGATGGCCTCTTCTTTTGTTTCCTTGGTGGAGCGCCGCCGGGGTGGGGGGCGGGGAATCTTGATGTGTGCTGTTCGGAACTTAGCAAGTTCAGCCATGTGTGCACGTAGACTCTTCAACCTCCTGTCAGACATGTTGTGTTGCAGCATGCTTGCAGTAGATTCTCTTCTCCGGAGACTGAGTGAAGTGTCTGACCCTACAGAATCCCGATGCCCCCCAAATCCTCAACTCTCCTCATGAGTCCGAACCCTTGGGTGGCAGGACATCCTCGAAACCCTCAGCCCCGGTTCAGGATTTTGGGGTTAGGGCCAGGGTTTAGGGTTTGGGGGTTTAGGGTTTAGGACAGGCCTAACTGACGCAAGAGCGGCAAACTACCAGGCGTCCTTGCGTGCAAGACTGCAGCAAAAAGATTGTCGTCGAGGGTGCCCTTGGATTTCGGTTGTTTTGGGGTTTAGGGGCTTAGGGCTTAGGGTTAATTCTGGAGCGACAATGCACAAAACATCGCAAAACCTTGTATGTGGAAAAACAGGGGCCCCACAGCGTCCCTTTCTGTTAATAAAACGCTTATCTAGAGTTTAGGGTGTCCTTTGCTGCCGGCTTTCGTGTGGCTGTGCCAATGGGCCTCAGGCTCTCCTCTTGGCAGCACGAGCTCACAAGATCGAGCTGCTTTGGCTTTGTTTTTTGATTGGGGTTCAAGGTTTATAGGCCTTACAGGCCATTTTTCGGGTTTTAGAGCTAAAGGGTCTAGGTCTTATGTTTTTTTAGGGCTTTGGCTTGACGTTAGTGTATAGGGTTCAAGGCTCAAAGGGTGTTTACAACTTTAGGGCTAATGGGTTTAGAGGGCTTTAGGGTTTACATGGCTTTAGAGCTGATGCTGATGGTTCATAGGGCTTCAGGGTTTTAGGGTCTAGGGCTTGCAGGGCTTTAGCTTTAGGTGTGTCGGGCTCAGGTTTCCGAGGTCTCATGCTAATGAGGCACATGGGACACATGTCAGGGCCCCTTGTGAAGGGCCTTGCCAAGGAACTATGTCCTGTGGGGTTCAGCTACTGGTACAGGTATAGACAGTGCCGCATGTGAAGTAGGGTTGAATTAAGGAGTCTGCTTCGGTGAGATGTAGTGCTCCTTCTTTGAATCGTGGTGCGTGTTCATTTGGGGTACATCTGTTGGGTCATACCGTGACTTGCACAAGTTCTGTAATGGCTCACACTCTCGACCGAAGCCGAATTATTTTCCAGAGTCCCGTGCCCCCTCTGGACGCCGAAAGCAAAGCCAACAGTGAACATTGTGGCGTTTCCGCACTGGATGAATGGCGACCCGGCTCCGGCCACAGTGCCGTGCCTGTTTGCCTGAAACCTGAAACATTCCAGAGGCTCCTGAGTCCTTTCCTTTGCCCCCCTCCCCTCCAGGCAATTTTGGCACAGAGCACTGACCCTGAAGCCACAAAACTCAAAACTGCAATCCTATAGCAAGTATACCTATAACACGCGCTGAGGAAGGCCACTGTGCGCCGCAGTCAGTTTCCTGGATCCGAGGTGCAGCGTTAAAACCTGAGAGCCTTCCTGCTATAGTGCTTCATGTTTTACTACGGCTTTACCACCAGGTTCAGGTCTTACGGTCTACGGTTTACAGTTGGGAGTTGAGGTTTGTAGTGCTAAAACGGAACAGGGTCGTTGCAAATTAGCAGCACAGCATCAAAATTGCAGGTTTCTTCTTGACTGCAGATCCCGGCAGCATGAAGCCAACTACGTCATCATGGCTTGCGTCGGTCGGAATGATGTTATGAAGAATCTATGTCCTTCTGAGCATTCACGACGTCTTGTCACTTAGCAGCGTGTTGCATTCTTGTTTGTGCTTGTGTTTGGTTCGTCTATTGTAGATTTCCCAAACTGAAAATCGAGATAGCCCTTCGCAATCCGAAATGACGGCAGAAGGCTGGGAACCATGTCGTGCCTTCCATGGTCCAATGTCCGTTTGCCCTGGGAGACTTAATTGCCCGCACATCCTCCAGGAGGGGCACTCACAGTGGAAGGCAGCGTTGAAGCAGCAGCAGGTCCGAGGGAGGGGCTTTTTCGGTTTTGATACTTTGCGTGCCAATATTTCTCGGTGTTCCCGCATAATCTGCGTAGTATAAGACCCCGCATCCCTAGTGAAATTATACAACTTACGCGTCGTGAACAAGACCAAATCGACGCTTTTCAACTAAAAATGTTCCGGCGTGTGCTCAATATACCACCTACCCATATCGACAGAAGCTGGACAAACCAAAGAGTTGTGGACACTTTGTGGCACATGCATAAATTCAATCACGTTAAACTATCAGTTAAATGGAAGCAGAAAAAGCTTACCTTATTAGGCCATATCCTGAGGGCACCACATAGTGACCCAATGCGGGAAATACTGTTTCAACCGGGAAAGAACATTCCTAGAAGCGAGCATGTGCGTAGGGTCGGCAAACCGAGAGCAAACTGGCTTCTAGACACATTCGTAGAAGCATATGCATTTTTACATCCTCAAGCACGCTTCGATGAAACCGCCCCTGCGCTTTGGAACGAAATAGCAGACACGGCCATGCGCCGCGAACCCCCTTTTAAAACAAAGGTCAACGAAGCCTGAAGGAGAGCCGGAGAGCCACCTGATAATGCGATATTACGATTAACAAATCAACGAAGATTTCACCGAAGATGTCATCGAATATGTCATCGAATATGTCGTCGCTAAGCCTACGGAATCATTTCAGTGAGAAGGTTTTTGCGATTATCACCGAAAGTGTCACCGAATATGTCATCGAATATGTCGCCGACGAAGTGACACTGTAAAGGATTATAGTCAATGATAATGCAAAACGACCGTTATCTATGATCCCTAAACCCTATCTTACCCTATCCAACTTTTCATGAGCCCCAACTCCAATATCCCTGTACACAAGCGCTTGTGGGACCCTTCAGTCTACTTGCTCGATGCGGCAGTGGTGTAGCCAAAGTTTTCCCATCTTTTGTGCAGATCTCCTCAGCCTCTGATAACAGATGGCTGCAATCCTTTCCGGAAGTTGAGCAACGCTCAGCGCCTTGTGGAGCTGCGTATCAGTGAGTGAGTGAATCCCTAGTGAAATTATCGGAACTTCTATCTTAAACCCTACCACACCATAAGGTCGTTTCCAAGAGCCAAACAAAACTCTTTAGAGGTTTAGCTGTTCGAGGGCTTTGTTTGGTATGCGGCTGTGTGGAGCAGTGTGCAGTGTGGAGTCCTTTGGGTGTAGACGAACAGGTCCCTGCCCCGAGATCTGCCGTGGGACTGAATATCAAGCTTCTTGCGGGCAAGCCACAAGTTAGATAGATAGATAGATAGATAGATAAGGATTTTAGTTGTATTAACGTACCAGCTCATTTGTTTACTCAACAAATCGGAGCTTGGCTTTCGAAGAGTTGCAACTTACCCGAACCCCTCGAACACGTATCCGTTGTTCTCGTGATGTTCGTGCACATGTCTCAACCATTACTCTGAGCCGAGATGATCCAGGAACCGGAACGGTTTTGAGTTGCTTCGTTCTGAGCAGGGTTTACAGGGTTCTGTGTAGGGTGCAGTCTCGCACCTAGCAAAGGCCTCTGGACAAAGGACAAGCATTAACGCCCCATAAGCCCAAAACCCGAAGCCTTTTGAAAACACGCCAGCCCTAAGTGCCCCCCGACCGCTAAACCCTAAGTGTATTCAGGCCTTCTTTCAAGCCGCCAGGCCTAAACACAGGACCAAACTCCCAACATCCTCAAATCCTGAAACTTAAGCCCCACAAACAAACTCTGTAGCATCCTATTGAAACAAAACTCTCTTGGAGTATTAAACCTCGAAGAACTGCCACGAGGAGATGCGAGTTAAGCCCATCCTGGCCAAAGCTGGTTGGGGATCGGAGGCCATCGCGCGGGTCACAACTCTGCCATTCGGCTTGAACCAATATCAGTAATGCCAAGGTTTACCTGTAGCACAAGATACCATACCCGTAGTGATCTTAAGTATTTAAGGTTTCCTTCCATAAAACTGTCAACGGTTTGACCATTTTTCTGAACAATGATTCAGATTATTGCTATGCTTGCTTGTTGGTTTGCTCGCACATGTGCAGGCGTGAAAACCTGCATTTCCTTTTTCGAATCCGAGGTTGTCCATGGACGGATCTCGTGAGGACAAAGACATGCAGGCGCTGCCCCTGGAGCACATAGACTACCAAGAGAGCCCAATACCCTTTAATCAAGGCGTATAGCTTAAATCATAATATGAATCCCCTTATAGTTCAAGGTATATCCCTTAATTAAGGGGTATTGGGCTCTCTGACTAGATGCCAGAAAGTTGGAACACGATTATCCTCGTGGCCTTAAGGTAAAGTATATATAGGGGATCCCAGCACTAATCCTCCGAAAGCCATGTTCCAACTTTCTGCCTTCTACTTCTACTATATTAAGGAATCTACTTTAGACCATAATATTAAGCCCCCTAATTATGGGGTATTGTGGGGCATTGGGATTTGTGGGCATAAGGGCTGCTTGGAGGGCTCCTTAAGTCTTCCTTGTCGGGTTCCATGAGGGGCCTCTCTTGGGGAGGGGGTTCAGCAATCTGGAGGATTAGGTCAGTTCTAGCAGAGGTAAAGAGGGCCCTAAGGGTTTGTCGGAGCGGTGCGGTTTCTTAGAGGTGTGAGATAAATTGAGAAGAGTTCGGTAGAATAAGGATCCCACCGTTGAATGCTGATGTTGGGGTCCCATTTGTTTGAAAATCGCTCAATAATATCCTTCTGCACTGTTTTGGGCCTTGCTGCCACAATGCCGTCGTGCCAGATTTGCTCGCCCTCTAGTCTGCAGACGTGCAGGCTGATAAGAACCTTGATCGGCAGAATCGTTCCTCGTGCAGGTACTTGAGGATGCGACTTGCCTGGTGTTCTTGCAAACGGATCTACCGTCCATGACACTTGGCGATCGCCTTGCTCGAAACTATGGGTAAGCTAGTTGCGAATGTCTCCTGGTAATCCCTGTACGGTAAGGCCCATAGCCCATAGGAGCCACTTCTTTCCAGATACAACTGCCGCGGATCCGTCCTTAAAAACCCGATGCCTCAAAAGCTGTGCAACACGTCATCTGGCAGGTTAATGTAGACTGCTCAATTTGTAGCCATAGTGTCCCCTTTGGTCTCGCTATACGTACCGGAATTAGTTGTGATAGACAGCCAAACCCAACTGAAAATTAACCCACGACACTATTCGAAACATGCTATGCCCGAACGCTTCAACCTGAGTTTGGGGCTCGAGATTTCGCATGATTTCGCGACTTCTGGCTGAGGCTTGAGTTTGATGTTGCCTGGCTTTGAGTTGAGGCCGAGGTTGCATTGGTTTTGTGCTCAGACTGTTGGAGAGGTGGCAGCAGGGGAGGTAGGTGAAAGGGACCCCCAAAGATCCAACCCCGCTTCGCCTAACCAGCAGCACCAAGTTGTGGGCAGAAGAGCCCGACAGCCGAGTGTAAGGTTTTGGAGTCAAGAACCCTTGAGTTATTCACTCTAAACCTTAAACTCCTTTAACCCAAAACCCTACATCCTAAACCCCTAAACCCCTAAATAACCCAAAACCCCTAAACCCTAAGTCCTAAACCGTAGGTCTAATCTATCGTAGGCCCCAATCTCAAGCGCCCCTCGGCCCTCGAAGCCGCAGTCCATTCAGTCAGACTCTCGCATCCCGCAGTGCGCGACATGAAAGGTCGGCCCTGGGCTCCTTGTTTGTATCTGATAACATATATATATATATATATATATATATATATATATATATAGAAAAGACACATGTATGTATATAAAGATATATATATATATATACATATATATTTGTATATGTAAGTTGCGACATGTCATGATCCAATACCTTCAATAGGCTCCTGAAGAACTTACCTTCCTAGGGCTCCACACTGATTTCCTTGTACACCTCATTGAGAAGGTTGTTGCGGTCGCAGGTAAACCCTAAAGCCCAGTAAAATTTCTGTGCCTAAAGCCTTGCCCAGATTCCTCCCCAAGGAAGATCGAAGATCACGGAAAGCTCGTGGATCTCCTTCACAAGACCTGGGCACATGGCCTTGTGTTCAAGGGAGAGAGTAAGAGATTGAGAGAGAGACGCACGTGCAGACAGGCAGACCGAACTTGAGACTACACGTAGATCCCCGGACACAGACACTGCTACCGACAACTTCAGACAGACCGCAGACTGACAGTGGAGCAGGGACTGACGTGGCTCTCCAAGCCTTCCCTGTTCTCGGAAGCACTCACCGGCCGAAACGGGCTGCCTCTGAAAAGCATGGTGCCGCTCAGGTGAAGATGAGCCCGTGTGCACGAAGCAAGGCCATCCACCTTGAGTATGATGCACCGATGCTGCACTGCTTGATCGAAGCCATCGCACGGGACTCTACCCCATCTTTGCCGCAGACGCCGATGCTTGGGCCATCTTTTTTTCCAAAGTGTTATGACCGTTATACTATTTCGGGGGTTTGTTATTATGATTATGGTATACTGGGCCCCCCAAACCCTGTTCTGATCATTAAGGCCCCTATATTAAGAGTGATTACCTTCGATGTTTCGTGTCGTTGTGGTCGAACACAGCCGAGGATGGTGGCCCCACGTTTTACAAAGGCCTGCGCTGACCTCCTCCGCAAGAGTTGGAGCGAGTTGCCGGAGACTTTCACCAAGGAGGTCTTCGACCGTCTCCTCACGGAGGACAAGGAGGTACATGAGCTTCTCTCCTCCCCAGTCGTCAAGGACTTCCAGAACATGCGCAAGGTGATTAGTCGGTTCCTGGGGCTTCTGGAGCCAGAAGCCACTTGACTAACTTCAGCATGCTTTGTGACATCGTGATCCCTGTCTCTTGTCTACGCAGCTTTCTGAAATCGCTCGCAGCTTCAAAGTAGTCTCAAAAGTCACCTTGCAGCAGTTTCCCGTTACCCTGAGTAGCCGCCCTACATCCTAAACTCGAGGTCCTGAACCCTAAACCCTACACCCCAAACTCGAGGTCCTCAACCCTAAACCCTACACCCTAAGCCCGAGGTCCTATAAACCCTAAACCCCGTTTCCCCGCACCGAGGCAATGCCACAATTCGAGAAGCTGGCCCACGCTTTGGCTGTGGCTGGGTACTGGTTAAGCAAATCAACTTGAGTTGTCTACTTCGTGCATGTGCGTTTATTACATACATATATATATACACAGTTGTTGTATACATATACACACATGTATTCATGCTTGTTAATTATGTTGTGTTGAACTAACTTACGTATATTTACGGTTAAGTGTGTATTTGTACATACATGTACAGACACACATGCATATGATTATGCTCATGAACATACATCTACATGTAGCTGTACATATACATACTCACATACAGGGTATGTATGTGTATATATATATATATAGAGAGAGATGTACGAGCTTCTGTAGACGGTTGTATGTATGTGTGTATGTATATTAGATACATACGCATAGTCAGATGGCGAGCGACCGAACGCGACAGGTAGAGAGGGAGAAAGAGATCCCGATCTCTTTTGTTCTACGTCTCTTCTGATTCTGGTGCTCGACTTCCGATGTTGACAGAAATTCAGAGCCCAGGTGGCCGGCCATGGCGGCGGATTGCGGCTGTCGCACATCGCAGCCATGAAGAGAGCTGTTGTGCGCGTGGTCACGAGCAGCTTGCATGCAGCTCAATGTAGGGTTTAGGGAATCAGGAAAACTTAAAAAGGACATTATCGATACTTGCTAGCTGCCTTGGCTAAATCATGCTCAGAGCCAGTGACATTGCCCACAAAACGGCAACGTCTGCAGCACTGTTCTCTGCATTCCTGCAGTCAGTTTTAAATTGCTGTTATGTGACACGGTCTTAAGAAACAGCCAACCTCCACCACCTGTTCATTTGCACCTGCCATCGGTCGAGTGGAACCATACGGCACAGATCGGTGTTTTGCCAAGCGCGGCGTTCACTCGCACTCAATTTTTCTTCAACTCACTGCGGTGCCCTGTCGCTTTTGATTAGCCTTTGCCAGCTGCCCACATCGAACTTCGTTACACAGTCGACGAGGTCTACTGCCACGCTCTCTTCAGGGATGACATGCTAAATTCTGCACGAACTCATGGCTCCAAAGTCTTTGAACAAATTGTAATCTTGTCTGTCAATATATGCACATATACATACATATATATATATATATATATATATGGATATATACATATATATATATATATAGATAGATAGATAGATAGATGGGTATACTATTATATCGCATCTATCTAGCCTTTATCTCCGCCTCCAGACCTCCAGAGCCAGAAACTTGACACAGCAAATTTCAGGTTCAAAGCCTTTCACAAGAAATCTGCGAAGTTTGCTTAGCAAAGGGGGGGGGCACCGATATTGACCCTAAATTGTTGCCTCCTTGTGGTTAGAGTAGGACCCCTACATAAGGCACCCCGAACGTAAAAAATTCTCACATGCGCACACATACCCATTAGCAAGATATCCCACTCTACCCCGAATCTTGTACGCTCAAATGCCATACGCTCCATACTGAATACCTCAAGCTGATATGCCCAAGCACCCACCCATGAAACTCGTTGCCCTGAATCCTGATTCCTGAACCCTGCACCCCAGAAATCCCTTTGCCCGAAACCCGAAAACGGTAACACACAATTCAAGAAAAAAACCTCATTGACAACCCATCTCCCTGAAACCCTGCGCCTTCGCATTGTGATGCTTCAGAGGCAATGCCTCGAAGCAGCAGCGCGAGTCTGTGAATCGGGCATGGGAAGCATCTTGTCCCTGAAGGTTCGTTTGGCTTGGATATGGGATCTGTCCTACGAAGGTTGCGCCGTATCGTTCCGTGGTATTAGCCGTCTTGGGCATAGAACACCTAAGCTGTCAAGGAACGATCCATAACTACAGTAGTTTGGGCTGCTAAGGCAGCCTGTGCTCAAAGCTTCCGTAGGAAGCCTGTGGGCGGTATAGCTCAGCTCACTCGTTGCTTTCTTTCCTGCCGCATACGCAGCCTGCTTCAGTTGCTTGCAATGTCACACAGAAGAATCGGGCGCACGACAGGTATGTCATCCGTTATAAGGTAGTACGGCTTCGCCCAAAGATTCTTGATTGGGATGTTCAATGTGATGAACCCTGAGTCTCGGAGGGAATTGCACTGAAACCTCAACCCTGAAGCGCCAACCAAAAAAAAGCCTTGTGGCCTTGAGATTCCTTGCCCAACCGGCCCTAGACCCTCAACCCCATACCCCACAGGCCCTAAAACTACAACCGCCCTAATTTACAACCGGATAAGTACACATATATGTACATACATACACACACACATGCATAAATACTATATAAACTCATATATATATATATATATATATATGTCCCATATTCCTTGCACCCGATTAAGGCCTTCTTCTATGCCTTGGGAGCCGTGGTCGCCCCGCATTTGATGAGCCAAGATCGGCTGGAGGAGCGGGGCATCGATGCTCCCTTTCAGGGTTGCTATAAGAGTCCCAGGGTTTCTTCAAGGGTTCCTTAAGCGTTGCTACAATAAGGGTCCTAGGGTTTCTTAAAAGGCTCATGTAAGGAATCCGAGGGTCGCTTAGGGTACAGTACTGGCTCTGATAAAGATTAGCAGAAGGGTACCATACGCCTTAGGCTTTGCGTGCAGGCTTTAGCCTTTCGGCTGCAGGGTTTGGGGCTGAGGGCTTTGGGATTAGGGTTTAGTGTTTACAGTTGCAGAATGTCGGGCCCTGACCTTTGTAGTAATAATTCTGAAAGTACCCAAGAAGCCCATAGATTTACCTTATTTTACCCTTATGGCACTTACAAAATCGAAGCACTTTTGCAAGGAGATCGCCGCTGCGACGTCCACAGCTCTACCCGTCCCCGGAGGTGGGGCACCCTTTTAAGTTTTTGGGGTTTAGGGTTTAGGGTTTATATAGAAGCCCCAGAAAAATCTACTGTCGTGAGTGGTGTGGGGGCAGTTCGACATTTTCTAGGGCTCCTGATTCTTTTGTGGGGTACCCCCATAATGAAAAGCGTTTTTCGGCTTGATTTGTTTTTTGTAGGTACGCTACAGCCAGAATTTATCTCCAGCTTTAGTTGACAATAAAGGTGCCCCCGAATGCAAAGTCTGTCCGGCCCGAAGCTACTCGTATGTTCTGAAGCATCTGAGCACTTGCTACTTGTACTCACACTATTTCCAGATGTTTCCGGCGCCGGCCGCCCCCGTAGCACAACATGATTCAGTCACTTGTTTGTGCTTCTTTTGGGGGGACGGGGGCAATGCAGACCACACAATGTAATGTTAGTCGGACTTCTCGCTGTCCTTAAAGCAAAACTACGGTATGATGTCCCCCAAAACCCTCTGACTCTCTGATTATCCGAGCCATTCCGAGCCCGTATACTCACCGGCTGCTATAAAGATCTATAAGGCTATATGTGTGTTCGGGTTTCGGATTTAGTTGGGCCAAAACTGAGTCACAAAAGCTCCTCGCTTAGCGAAGTACTGGGTCCATCGTCTGCCTATCTTCGCTTGTCTTTGTGGTAACTGCTATTGTAAGGCTTATTACCCATACGGTGGAAGCCCAAAAGTTGGAAACCCCATAGCCTCAATCCTTAAGAGTAATGTCTAGGGAATCCCAACACTATTTGTGGCCTTAATCCGGTTTCCAACTTTATGGTTTGCTGTCAGGACTCTCGGTGTGTCGGACTCAGGGTTGACATCTATGTGAGTTTAGCTCTGTTTTGTTTATCTAAAGGAATCTCTCAGGTGGCCCCCATGCGGCCATTGCTGCTGTGTGGCTGTAGCTGAATTTGGGTCGGGGGATGACGGGGAAACTGAAGGAGGGAGGGCTCGGGCTAGGATTTCGGAGTCGGGGATATGCGTCATTCCCTGCTAGTGTTGAGCATCTTGAGTGCTTGAGTTGATACCATGATTTCGGGCGTCGGGATGCGTTGACTCGAATTTTGCTTCGGCGCCGTGCATCTTCAGCCAGGCGCTGTGAAAACTTATGCTGGTCCTTGGACGTTGGCTCAGTTCTCGATACACACATCCACCAACCTGCGGCCCGCCGAATCCTCATCCCAGGTACTCTCTTACTTATATGTGTCGCATAAATCTGCCTAAGCTGCGAGCTTCCCACATGACATCGAGGTTGGGCGGATGTTATTTGTGAATTTACATTTCTGTGTAAATTTGCAGGCCTGTGAGATGTCGTTTCTGTTCGGTGTCTTTTAATTGGGTTGTTACTCACTGGTGCAAAAAGAAGTGCATGGCGAGGGCGTTCCCATGTCGAGGGCGATGTAAGATTCTTGAGCTATGGTTTTCAAGGCTTGCGGTGCTTGTGCCAAAAGCTTTACATGTTGGCCAAAAGGAATCATATTCTCGATTCCCCACCAAAGGAAAGGATGCAATGTATAAGTTTGAATGTATGGTCTTATACTGCATAAATACTGTGAGGGATCTTTTCGGATCGCATGGAGTTCATAGGTTCTCGGCTCCCTGGCCGAATCATCCCGAAAGCTTGATTGCAGATCAATGATATAACCATGTGCACAAGCACACGCAAGACCCAAAGCACAATTCACATCTTCGAGTGAAGTACGGAAATTTCGGAGACTAGATGTGAAGTGTATGCTCAAGTGACCCGTTGGAACAGCGAAGATTCGTGAATTGCCAGGTACGGAATAACGGCAGTTCTTCAAGATTCACCAGCACATACTTCTGGCCCACCTCCGACATTTATCATTTGACCCCAATACGAACATGCACCCGGCAAGGAACGGCGTCGCTTTGCTGGAAGCTCGGCTATCGAGAATTTTTTCTGGACGTTTCTGTGTCGATTTCGTCGTGTGCGATGCCTGACTCCCTGCAGCGTAGCATTGAGCTCGGCTGTAGGGGCTCGCCGTGAGATGCGAGACTGCTGGTGCAGAGGGCCAGTAGTAGTGGCCACACCGCTCATGTGAGCCCGGGCAAGCAGCGATGTGAGCTTGAGATGCTCACACTCTATACTATACACTGAGCCGAAGCGGAAGTAAGCAAAGGAGATGAGCCTGAACATCTCCGCCCTTCGCCCCGGAAGCAACGCGCCCCCAGAAGAGGCCTCTTCACAGTTGTGTTCGCTGCTTGGAGGGGGGCGGGGGGGTTCTTTCTTTGGATCTGATCTTTCGAGAATGATGGAGCACATTATTGCGAAGGTTCGGCTACCGCAGTCCGATACCCAAGGCCCTATGCGACGCAGTGTGCGGGCCGGGACGTAGGAGTTCCATTCGCTCGCCATCTAGGAGCTGAAGAAAATCTACAGTTGGGCGTTTACCATATGGGTTCTTGTGATGGTTCCGGTCGAGGTTCCTATAAGCCTTCGGCCCTGAACCCACAACCCTATTTCCGGACATGGGGAGCGATAGAGACTGCTTAGACATGCGTGCTCCAGCGCCTCGAGGTAACCCGAACACTTTACAGTAGCAGGCCATAGAAGCCTCTACCCTCCCAGAAACCTCCAGGCTTACAGTCGAAGTCTCGACCACACCACCCACCCTAGCCCCGAGATAACAAGAACCAAGCCAGTCTCAAAGCTGAGAAACTCCAGAAGCCTTACAAAGTCGTCGAGGTGATGACCAAGCTGCGCGAGGCACGAGGCTGGCTCCTAGATTGCATCCGCGAGGACCCTGGGAGCCCCAGCAAAGTTTTAAACGAGTTTAATTAAACTCGTAGGGTTTAGGAATTAAACGGCTTTACAAAACAGGCAGTTCTTCGTTTAGCAAAGGACTTGTTTGGGTTTCTTGGGCTTTATAGGGTTTCGACAAGGCATTTGTAGAGCTTTAGAAGCGGTGTATAGGACCTGGACAGGGGATCTTGGGATTTCAGGGCTTTCGTTGCAGGGTCTATGTGCAGGGTTTAAGACTGAGGTCTTAAGCAGTCGGAGCACATATCGCTGTTGCTGATCAGGCACAGCACACACGGCCAGCGCCGCAGAGGTAATTGCCTTTGCGCCCCAGCGAATCGATGATTTTTGGGGTGCTGCGATGCGACATTACCTGCCACTGGCAACTAAACACCTTGAGGAAGTAGGAAGAGAACTCGGCAGACTGTTTCTGTATAGGGTTTAGGAAGTGGGTGTTCGGCTTGAGAGTCTATAATGAACCGAACCCGAATCCTATGTCCCGAATCCACAAGCCCTGGCCGAGCCTGAGTGCCGAGTCGTCTTGAAACCGCAAACTCGAAATCCTCAACCATCGATCTTGCATCCGATCATCTAAAAACCCTATAGGCTTTGAAGCGTAATGCGATCATCTTAAAACCCTTATGGACCTTGAATCCGAATGCCTTACATGACGTATCAATGCAGGTCCCTCAGCCGGGCACTCTGACAACTCATGCTGGCCTTGAAGCCTGAACTTCGAAAGTCTCCTGCTAGGCATTCCAACCAACACTTCTAGCGGGAGGAAAAGAGGTGTTCAAACACGAAGAAAGCCCTGCCCCTATTCGATGAAGTCCTGAATATCTGATATAGGGGCCTTATAGTAGTTACCTAGACTATTTCGGGGGCTCCTTTGTATAATTATAGTATTATGGCCCCAAAACCCTATTCTGACTATTGAGGCCCCTCTATTGCATTCTACATGCCTCAACCAATCAAAGCCATTACCAGGACGTGAATGCCTACTGCGGGCTGCTCAGTTCGGTATACGGACAGATGCCAGACAAGGCGCCTGGCCTATAGAGTTTCGTTGCTAACCCGTTTAGGAGTTTGAGGCTTTGCGTTTTTGATCTTTGGGGATGTTTCCAGTTGTTTCAAGAAAGAGGATGTGCAACAGAAGCTGCTCAGCAGACTCCCTTTGAACCCTTTTCCCTCTAAACCCTGAACCCTGTCCCTGACTCCGGCACAGCCAGGCAACGCAGACAGCGGCTTCGGAAGAGACTGAAAAGAGGCCGGCGTGGTGCTTTAGCCGGTATAGGGGTTTTGAACGATGAGTTCTCGTATTCATTTAAGGGCCCTACATCAACCGTAGCAGTAGTAGTAGCAGCAGGAGTAGCAGGAGTAGTAGTAGTAGTAGTAGTAGTACTACTACTACTACTACTACTACTACTACTAGTAGTAGTAGTAGTAGTAGTAGTAGTAGTGGTAGTGGTAGTAGTAGTAGTAGTAGCAGTAGTAGTAGTAGTAGTAGTAGTAGTAGTAGTAGTAGTAGTAGTACTAGTACTAGTACTAGTACTAGTACTAGTACTAGTACTAGTACTAGTACTAGTACTAGTACTAGTAGTAGTAGTAGTAGTAGTTGTAGTAGTAGTTGTTGTTGTTGTTGTTGTTGTTGTTGTTGTTGTTGTTGTTTTGTAGTCATTGCAGTCGCAGTATCATTAGCAGTAGCAGTAGCAGTAGCAGTAGAAGCAGCAGCAGGAGCACGTTGAGTTGTTGGAGCAGGAAGCAGGGGCAGGAGGCGGAGGAGGAGGAGGAGGAGGAGGAGTACGGTTGATGATATAAATCCTGCACTACCTTAAGGACCCTATGGGAATCATGGCATATTCCTTATTATGGGTAATGCAGGATTTATATCATCAACAGTAGTATGAGTAGGCCGAGGAGAAGGAGGAGTGGGAGGCAACGAGCGTTCTACAACTCCCAGACCTCCCAGGTCCTAAAGACAGCACGAATCGAACAATTCCACTTTCGCCAGCAAAGGATGTTCAAGAGGGCTTAGTGTTTTGAACCCCAAACCTATATGAATTTTGCATCAACCCGAAATCCCAAACTCAAAAGGCTTTGGCTCCGAAGGGCGGCAGAAGTTCCACTGCGCGTGGCCGAGCCACAGGGCCGACATTTTTTTCTTTTATCAGAGCTTTTTGGGAGTTTCCGAAAATTAGGGCACCTTATCTTGGGATCCTTATCCTACTATATATAAAGGGTAGTATATTAGGGTCCCCGGTTTTCTGAAACTCCCTTTTCTGTGTCTTGAAGGTCCTTTTCCCAACAGTGCTCTAACGTCTGTAAGTTTGGGCTTTTTCGCTGCGGATTGGGCTTTGTTTGTAAGAGTAGGGTGAGGGGAGATCCGCTTGAGTTCGAGCGGACGATTGGAGTGCCGAGGCTGTCGACTGGCACGGCCGCAGAGTGTTTGCGATGCAAAAGCTACATCAAAGCGAGCTTGAAAGGACCGGCGCAGAAATTGAAACGGTAGCCATGGTTTTGGGAGTGGGTGGTAGGTCTAGCTAGCAGGAGAAGTAGCAGTGGCAGCAGTGGTGATTAGTATTGTCTTGTGATTTTTCTGTTTAGTAGCAACAGTAGTAGCAGTAGCGTAGTAGTCGTAGTCGATGTCGTAGTCGTTGTCATAGTAGCAGCCTCGGCATCTCAGGTTTGAGCCTGCAGGTTTGGGGTTTCGCAATCTCGCCACCGTCACCTGCAGCGACCTTTGAAACAGCACTCCTACTACTACTACTACTACTACTACTACTACTACTACTACTACTACTACTACTACTACTACTACTACTACTACTACTACTACTACTACTACTACTACTACTACTACTACTACTACTACTACTACTACTACTACTACTACTACTACTACTACTACTACTACTACTACTACTACTACTACTACTACTACTACTACTACTACTACTACTACTACTACTACTACTACTACTACTACTAGCTACTACTACTAGCTACTACTACTACTACTACTACTACTACTACTACTACTACTACTACTACTACTACTACTACTAGCTACTACTACTACTACTACTACTACTACTACTACTACTACTACTACTACTACTACTACTACTACTACTACTACTACTACTACTACTACTACTACTACTACTACTACTACTACTACTACTACTACTACTACTACTACTACTACTACTACTACTACTACTACTACTACTACTACTACTACTACTACTACTACTACTACTACTACTACTACTACTACTACTACTACTACTACTACTACTACTACTACTACTACTACTACTACTACTACTACTACTACTACTACTACTACTACTACTACTACTACTGCTACTACTACTGCTACTCACGGTCATTGAAACGGCACTCGAAAATCAGGAGACTGGATCGCTGGCGCCAAGCTCCTTCGAACCGCCTCGGAGATCTCTTTGAAGACGCTTGGTGTGCACAGGTTCAGGGTTTAGGGTGTAGGGGCTTGGGGTGTCGGGTTTAGGGTTTAGTAGGGTTTAGGGTTTAGGCGACATGTAAGGAGTGTAGACCGCTGGCCTCATCTAGTCGCACGGACGATTCTCCTTGCCATGGTGCAGTTGCCCTAAACCCATAGTGTCATGCAGGCCATGTGGCAAGGAAGCTCGGGAGAGGGATTGCACAACTGAAGCTGCCTGCGGCAACATCAAAACCCCACCGCATCGCCTCAAACCCGATAGATTATCATGTGACCCTCTCGAGTCCAGTCATCCGATGAGACCACAAGTCCTGGGTTTGGAGTACCCTACTTGAATATTTTTTGTTACCTGTTCCTTCAAGGCAGCATTATAAGATAAAAGTCTATACTTTTTTCTCCCTGGTTACTTCAAAGTCCAGAAGTAGATGTTGTTGTTGACCGGTGCCGTCATGAGCGGTCCGAAGAGCCTTCGATTCTGCTTCGGAGCGTCCAAAATAGGGTTCAGTACCCTAAGAAACTCATGTGCTTTCAGAACCCCGGATGGTGAGAAGGCGTGTATGTTGCGAGAGTTTGAAGGCCATGTCATGCTTTAAGCCAAATGTGAGTCGCACAATAGCGAGCAGGGGATTTGAGCAGGTCGAAAAAGACGTCTAATTTGGGAGACACGCTCCTGTCAGCAGGTCGGAAAAGAAGAAGTCTAATCTAGTGACACGTATACCTTTGAGAGTTAGTCCCGAACGGTGTGTTCGTAAACGAAAAACTGCAAGCCCGGCAATAACAGTGTTAGCAACAGAGGTTGTAGTGCAGTACAGATGGTGATGATGGGACTGCCCGGAGTGCGATATCTCTTGTACCGCACTCTGCCGACCAAAGCTGCCCAAACAGTGTTGCAGGATCAGGATTTTTGCGCTGGAAAGCCCTGGCAAAGCTAAAGTGCCTTTGAACCCCGGAAAAAAACTTGGAAGAGACTCTAACATGGAAGCTGCGTCTAAACCCCTAAACCCTAGAATTTGTAGCCCGGTCCTGCGGAAGGAACGTGTCCATCAACCTGAGAGACATGGGCTTGGCTGCCAAGGCTTTGCGAGTTGTAGGGCACCGGTGCTACCTGCAGTCTCCATTGTAGTTCCTTTTTTTGGTTGACCAAAATCTCTATTCTATCATCCAAACCATGAAACTGGTTAGCCAAAAAAGGAACTACAATGGATACCAGTACGGGATCAAAAGAAGGGCTGAAGGCATGGTATAAGCAGCATAAACGCGGGCAGCCAACAACTACCCAGCGCTTCAAGCAACGTCGACTACATTGGCGAGCCTGAACTTTGATTTCCAACACCAGCAGACGGAGTATGTACGCTCCGGCCTTGTTGCAGAGAGGTTCATGGCTGGAATCGCGAGTCCCTGTCGGCTGTCGGTTTACGGATTAAGCCGAGGCTTCAGGTTCTGTATCCCTCTATCTATCAATCTCTCTCTCTCTCTCTCTCGCTGTGGCATTCTTGTCAGGGTTGTGGCCGGAGAAAGAGCCTGCATTGGGTTTGACCGGAGACAACAGTTAGGGGAAAAATTGCTGGCCCGAAGCGCTTGACGACACTATAGTGACTCCAGTGCAATTCAACTATAAGACCTACCAAAAAGCGCACATTACAACTACGACGCCATGTGCATACGTGCATAGCCCTTTCGTGTCTTTCTGTTTGAAAAGTCGGTCTGATGAAGCGTGATGTATGCATGGATATTGGCATCCAGGTTTGTGTAGTTTGCGTATACCCAGTTGTCGCGTGCTACAGGACAACCTCGTACATGATACCCGAAGGGTCCGAGTAACCATATAGTATATACTTTAGGGTACTAAGTACCGACTATAATGGTACATGGACCCTTTGGGATATCCGAACGAAGCCTCTCTGCCACCCGCAGGCTGCTGACTTTGACAAGCGGTTGGCCCGGATTCGCGATACCGAGCCGCCTTGGGAGGACCGGGAAGCTGCCGAGGCTTTTAAGACAGTTCTTGTTGTTAGGGATTAGTTGACCTGACACTTCGAGTGCCTGAGAGAGAGAGAGAGAGAGAGAGAGAGAGAGAGAGAGCGAGAGAGAGAGAGAGAGGGATTAGTTTACACAACAGCTTCCAATGTTCGTGGTGGTATGTCCCGCAGCTTGCTTTATTGGGTATTGGCGTCATGGGTATCTAGCGATAGGTACTTCAGCATCCTGTGCTTCGTAATGGTACGTGCCGAAGATCACGAGAACGGACTTCATGGTTCTAGGGGGCTATGAAGGTTATTGGAAATTTTTGAGAGACAAGATGCCACAGCACTATAAATGCCAGGATCCCGTCTTGTAAGCACTCTGCAGGTGTTGCGACACTCAAGAGGGAGAATGCTGGCTGGGAGTCCCCACAGTGGTGTTGTTGTGGGCTGGTTGGTTATCTTTCGATTAGAACGTGTACCTCCGATGTGTACACTGAATAGCGATACAGAGAATCATGGGTGTGTTATTTCATGAACTGTGCACTCGCTCAGTTGTTGGCTGCTCGCAATCATTACACTCAGGAGTCATTTCTGTAGCCCACACTGAGTGGTCTTAGCTCGACTACCCATGGCTTGAGAACCAGAAACACCTCGGCGAGCAGGGTTAGCAAATTACCGGCTTCTGATTTCGACTGGTTTTGCATCAGAGGCCAAAAGGCCGGCTGTGGATGAAATGAGTGGGGCCTGTTGGGTTGATGGTCGTCCTGATATAAGCGAGTTTCCGGCAACACCCCTGTAGCTGTTTGCCAAGCAGTCCCTGGTATGTCAGCACCGGTGGCTTCTATTAGTTACATACTTGGCAGACCACTGTCCAATTCCGTGGCTTCTCGCAGGTTCTGTGTAGTTTTGATGCGGCAGGACCTGGTCGATGTGACGATCTCATGAGACACCTTCATCCGACTGAGAGTAGAAGCAGTTGGCTGCGAATCCAGGGCCCACCGGAAGCTTGACGGTTGAAGTTGAAGGCATCCTAGTTTTGGCAGAGGTCCGGCACCCGAACATGCTCTAAGATGCTCAGGCACCTCCTCTCCCTCCCTTAGGCCCGCAACGACACTTCCTGTTCAAGGAAAGGGCCTAGCCAGCAGCCTGCGTTCCCATTTCGACTGCTGTGCATAGTCATCGGTTGGCTTTGGAACCCCGGCGTGTAAGGCTGTGGCATAGCATATAGTTTGTTTTAGCCCTGAACCTTCAACACTAAACTCACTACGCATACTGACTGTATTGTACCCTTGAACTCCATCATACCTCAGCCCCTTGGGCCGACTGAGGCCTTCTTCTCTAGGGGGAGCTCCGCAGAGATGATTCCTATTTCCGAAGGACACTGTACTGTATAGTACTTACGATTACAATACAACGTACTCAATCTAGAGTAGTATGCCATAAAATACTACATACATACTATGATCTAGCCTAGCATGAGCATAGCCTAGCACAGCACAGCATACAGCATAGAGCCTGTCAAAGCAGAGTGTAGCATCGTATAGCGCAGGCATAGCTGTATAGCAAGTCATGCTAGTATAGTCTGCATCGTGCAGTCTGGAAGAATTAATCTGGTATAGTCGAGCATAGCATAGTTTGTCGTTGCTAGTTTCAAGTATAGAGTACACTGTAAATGTTACATGTTCTATGCTGCATAGTGTATGTATACACGTGGAACACTACACAGTAAAACATGCACTTGGTATGCAGTACATAGTAGCTGTATAATAGCCACAAGGAGAAGACTACAGTATGCAGTACCTTTTCGCGTATACTATACAGTATATCGTATATAATAGTACAAATGACAGGATATGACAGTCTAAGATGTTATGGCACAGTCTAGCATTTTTCAAAATATAGCATAGCATGGCACAACATGATATAGCACAGACAAGAGTGCAGTAGAGCAGAGTACAGCAGAGTAAAAGACGGTACAACAGATGCTATTGGAGAGTCGGGGTCTGCCATCCGAAGGTTTTCAGCGAGAAGCAGCTCAGTGTTGCAACGATGGAAAACAGTGCATTTTGGAGCAGAAGTCATGCTGGCTTTGGGGGATCTCCAGCCTCGTAATCTGAACCGCAGCTCATGGGTCTTTCAGCTATGGTGTGGCTGTGGGGGTTTTGCTACAAAAACTTTAAGCCTGGTGCCCTTGGCCGGGAACTTAGGATTCAGGGGTTTTCTGCTTTGCTGGGAGCATCTGTGCTCGCCCATGGCAAGAGCTCATGTAAACATGCGTCAAATCATGGCGGCTGCATCAGAAGAGCATGCGTCGGCCGTTTAAACCCTATACACTTCAGTGTTACAGGTTTCGTGGTTCGGCAGTGCGTTGCATGCATGAAGGGACCCTCGTATCGAACACTAACTATAGAGTCGAGTCCCTTCTGCAAGGACCCATCGAAATATAATGCACACCTAGCAGGCATCCACCCTTGTGCCGTAGCGCCTTCGGCCCACCGCTTGCTCTCTTTCGTAACTCCACAAACAGATGGGAGCTTCAGAACACAAGGTGGTTTGAATACCTAGCTCCTTGGTTTTGGGCGCTTGAATGAGGGGCCATCAAGGGCTCCAAGATAAGGTCCGTCGAATCTTACGACACTCGACGATGCCACTAAATCCTAAGCTGAATTGCAGCTTCCTTTGAAGAAATTTCAGCGCCCATAGAACACCCTACGAAAACCTGTATGGCGCCATAAGAACACCCCGCGATGCAGGTCCGCGCGACAGAGTCGATGCTAGGAGCAGCACTGGTCGCACAGGCCAGGCTTGCTGTTGCGCAGCAAGCCAAACCTGTAGTTGAGTGTTCAGTTTCGGCTGCATGCCTTTCATGATAGAAGCCTCAGATCCGACAGCACCCAAACGCGAAGTTTTGAGGTAGCATTCCGACAAGGGCGTGAGTTTCGGCACTTTCTGTTTATGTTATTGCGGGCGTCCCTAGTTTACCTGTCGTTTACTGGAGTCCTCATGTGTCTCCTGATCTTACGGCTACATGAGCCGCCAGAATGTCGGGGCTTTTTGCAGCTGGCGGTCCCGTGCATAACACCGGTCCTGATCATTCAACTCGCCCGAGAAGCATATCGGGGTCGGGTGTGTCCGAAGTTCCCCACATGGGGCTTTCGGAAAATGGGGGACCCTACCTATAGTATCCATTGTAGTTCTTTCTTTTGGTTTAACCCCAAAAAGGAACTACAATGGAGACTACAGGTAATATAGTATCCTAAATAGTAGGATCCTTATTGTAACGACCCCAAAATAAGGTACCCCCCAGTTTTCGGAAGTTCCCCACATGGGTATCTGGACTGGAAGAAGAGAGTCGGTCAGAACCTGGGAGACGATTGGGCTTGTTTTGGGTGTTAAGGTGTGTGGGGCTTGGGGGGGGTTAGGGTTTAGCATATGCATAGTCCAGGTGTGAAAGGGTGTTGTATGATTTCAGTTTAGTGTTTCGAAGAATTGATAAGTGTAAAGTTCCTTCGAGGCCCGGATGTAGGGATTTCCGTGCAATGCCGACTCTTCCCTCGTGGCATTCCCTTTTCTGATATGTTGGGGGTGTTGTACTGGGAGTCTAGAGCAGCAGGCTCTGTACGGAACTTTGCAATTTGTAGGGTTTAGGCTCTGGGGTGCAGGGTCCATGGGCTGCAGGGCTTGGGGATCATGTCTCCTTTGGGTGGTCGGGCTATACATATATTTGTATGTACATTATGTGTATGTATATGTATATACACATATAGAGAGAGAGGGAGAGAGGTATCAGTCTACAGGCTTATACAGGAAATCTCAGGAACATACTCCAAAAACCGTTTTAGGCAGTATGGCTTCTGTATTGACATAATTCATTGCTCACGCCAGGGTCATGCGGCGGAAGCAAGCGCCTCTTGGCTGCCAGTGGGCTAGACATCCAATATAATGGCCAAGGGATCTACAAGGGCTCCTTAAAGGGTTCTATAAGGGATCTATAAGGCTTCCTTACAGGGTTTAGGGTTTAAGTGGTTTACTATAGGGGTCTTAACAATTACCAATGCTATTTTGGGGTTCCTTATTTTGGTTCCCCTCCAAACCCTATTCTATTTTTTAAGGCCTCTATATTAGTATTTTCCATCCAGAACCCTATGTTGTGAGTATAAAGTAGTCCGCATTTTTAATTAAGAGTTTCATGGAGCAGGTATTGCTTGGCCCTACTTCCAGTGCGTCATCCCTCGTCTTGTCCGTTCTTGAATGGGGAGTGTCTTTTCCTGAGATCGGCAGTTTCAAGTTTCCTGGCTCCGTGAGCCGTAAATAAACTAATTCTCCTCCGACGAGCAACTGGAACACTCGTTGCCAGTTATACTTATATCAGACTAGACGATCATCTACGACACTATAAGATACTCTCACATCTACTATCGTATGCGAGAGTATGATATAACAGTCCTAGTCCTAGGTGGCAACTCCAAACCCAATAAGATCAGAAGACTGTGCCTCGAAGTTTCATCCGCAAACAAAGCTCCTCGGCCCTGAGCCTACAGGCGCCTAACAGCATAAAGGGCCGTTTAGGCTATATGGGGTTGAAGGTTTTGGGCTAGGGTTTAGGTCCTATAAACCCCTAAAACCCCAGAGCACTGAAACATAAACCCCCGAAGCACTAAAGTTTTGGTACAGCTCTGTCAACTATTGCTTCGGAGTTACCTTGCAGTGCGGGCATCGTCCTTGCTAGGTAGGAAGGAAAAAATCCCAAAACCTCACACCCGAACTGGATATAGATTCTCATAAACCTCAAGCCGGAAGTCTAGGAAGCCTGGCAGGGACAGGGCTTCAGTCGCTAGTTCGGGGTATCTGGTTTAAGGGTTCAAAGGTTCCATGCTTTAGGGGTTCAGAGTTAAGGGTTTTGGGTCTGTGGTTTAAGGTTTCGCAGGTTCCAGGGTTTAGGGTCCGGGGCCCGGGAAACCTGGATGTCATGCATCGTGTGGTTAAAGCATGTAAGTGCGTTAGAAAAGGGTTCTACCTAGACCCCCCGCAACTACCCTCTACTATACCCCAAATCCGCACTATTAAAGACCATAAGGGCTCCATGGAAGCATTGGGGTTCCTGGTCTAAGGTGTTTCACAAGTGCTTGGGGTTTGGGATTCAAGGGAAGTTCCCAAAACCACAAAGCCCCGAAGCCCTAAACCCGAACATGTGTTGGCAGATCTGCAAAGCCTAGCGAGACCTCCGAAGTGGGTTTGGGATTCACGCTGTTTTAGAGCTCGGGATCTAGACTTTGATGGTTTATAAGGGCCATCGGGTTCAGTTCCGGGTGTAGTGTGAGCGTTCTCAGAAAGCGAGGTTACTTGGTCCTCCAAGGGGGGTTGAAGTTTTGGTGTTTGCGGAATTGACAGATAGCGTTCTGGAAGCTTGTGACTTTCTCGGTATCCAAACATGCAAATCGCAGGAGCCCTGAGCCTAAATCCGTGATCCCTGAGCAGAGACGGCACCCGGAGCCCTGTGAGTTTGCACCCATCACCACTACGTCGCTGAGCCGACCGTCCTTAGTCAGCCCACGCCTCTCCAAGCATCCCACGACTAAATTCCAATCCGACATATCCATTACGGTAATTCCTATAGTACCTCTAGTCGCCATTGTAGTTCCCCATTTTGGTTTAACAAACTTTTATATTAAGGATCCTAAAAGGTAACCCCGAAAAGGAACTACAGTGGAGACTATATATAGGTAAACCTTACAATGTTCCCTTTCTTCAACCACCCCAAGGCTTTGCTCACCGGAACAGCTTTGTCTCTGGAGCGAAGCTGCGGATCCTCGCACCCGCAGGCCTTGCCTGAGCGCAGCGTCTAGGGTTTTGTTATTGTAGGGCTCAAGGCTTCTATTCCGCTTTATGGCTCCGGGTTCAGAGTTGCAACCGTCGGGTTCACGGGGGGTTGGGGGTTTACGGCT